AAGTAAACCAAAATCTTATCTTTTATGTATATTTATTACAACAGTATTTGTTAAAGATAAAATAAAGCAAATTGCCATATATACTACAGAAAAATATAAAAAGAATAATTATCCTCAGTAGAACTTTAGCAAGCAGAAATGCTGTCAAAAGTGATTAATTTTGAAACGCTCAATTGTAGATTGAAAACAAAGTTACTGACTTTTCTTTTAGGATGCCTGAACATACAAAGAAATGAAATGGTTTACTTTAATTTTTCTGAACTGCAGTTTGATTGTATTTAAAAGGTATATACTTTTCCACTGTTGATTTCCCTTGGCAAACTGAGTTCATGTGAGTTTTCCTTAACTCATTGTATATTCCTTCAAAGTCTGCCATCCAGTCTTTTTACTTATTTATTTATTTTTTTTACATCTTTATTGGAGTATAATTGCTTTACAACGGTGTGTTAGTTTCTGCTTTATAACAAAGTGAACCAGCTATACATATACATATGTTCCCATATCTCTTCCCTCTTGCGTCTCCCTCCCTCCCACCCTCCCTATCCCACCCCTCCAGGCGGTCACAAAGCACCGAGCTGATCTCCCTGTGCTATGCGGCTGCTTCCCACTAGCTATCTAATGTATTTGCATTATTGCTTTTCTGCAGTCCTCTATATGCATCAAGATATGATAATATTATGCTCACTAGATCCTAGATTCTCTGCAGCTTCAACCTTATTTATTTTTCCTGGCTTATTTCTAATATCTAAACTATATGCCTTCTCAATAAAAAAATTTTTTCACTGGATAATAGTGCATGCAATATTTGCCCAGACTCCATATCAGATAGGATTTCACATGAAATATGGAAAGGAAAATACTGATAATCATTGTTAATAGACTTTGAAGACATTTTAATATTGGCTTAGCACTGTAACTCCTTTGCTATAGAAATGGCCTAGTTGGATCTGTTACTGGTTTATAGAAAACTGGATTGTGAATTTATATCTTAACATTACTAGTCAGGGGGACAGTAGTGAGGATATGAAAAAGTCTGGCTACTTGAGTATAAGGCTCATTCAAATCTCTTTGCTAAGGTAAAAATAAATAAACAATATTAAACATGACTATTAATCATATACCTAGTAATTGCAAATCTGATTTTTGAGTCCCCATGTGTTCACATTTATTTTTTAAACTGATTCAGAGTAAGCAGTGAGGAAGTCTCACAAAATTGACAAAGCAAGAAGGTGAAGAGAGCTATTTACCCCATCTTTGCCATTTACCTTGAACCTAACACATGGCATGCAACAGAGAGCAGCTCAGGTAAAAATGTCAAAAGAGGTGTTTTATATATAGCATTATATTTAAAGCATAGGCAGACAAACGAAGATGGTGTTTCAGAAGAACATCCCTTCAACAATTAAAGAGCTTCCAAGACTAACCACAAAGGAAGTATCAGGAAGACCTTCAACACTGATTTTTATTTTTAGAATTTATCTATTTCTATATCCCACATGCTGCCTGTTTCCTATTTTTCTCCTTTGTAGGCTTTGCTTATAACTGAAAAACTTCTTAGTTTAAGGCATATATCTGAGTTTGGCCTAGACTCTAATCTATACATATGAATTACTTCAGTAATGAAAAATATTATCAAGTCTTCCACAACTGACAGAAAACTGCTAGAAAAATGTAAGGTAGAATTTTTGATCTAATCATACTCAACCTAAGATGTTACTTTCTGAGTATAATGAATATGCCTTTATATTTTATAAATAAGTCTAGTTTTCAAGACACATTGTAATGTTTGGATCTTATGTAAATTTAAGATATCACATGACGTCAGATAGTTATTGCTGTGAAGTAACAGGGAAGACTGGACCAGTGCAACTTCCGTATATTATTACACCATCATTATCAGTGCATAATTCTGTTTCTCAATGCCTTTATTACTCTGATTTTCTTTGTTTATGGTAAGCATATAAGCCACTAAATGTGTAAAGGCAAAGGTGTCATAAGTCATCAGTCTAAGACCCTATGTATAATCAATACTCTATGGCATATAAAATGTTCTACCCACTTTCAAATACTGTTTGATTATAGAAATAAATCAAAGAAATAACTAGATGGAGCAAAGAGAGCAAGCTTATTTTAGGGTATATACCTGGTAACATATTTCCAAGAGGGACATTAATTCTTTTCAAGGAGGCAGAATTTGATTTTAATAGGGAAGAATACGATGGAGAAGAGTTTGATTCAAAAAATATAATTTCACTTATGTCTTTCTAATTTCTCCTTTCTTTCTCCATCCTCTTTGCTTCTCTCAGCTCCCCTCCCCACTCTTCCTGCCTCCTCTCTCCTGAGATTTTCCTACTTCATTGGATGACTACTATTTGAAAAGCACTGCAATAAATATATGAATATACTTGCTATTCAACTTTCAGCCAATTACTTCCTGGTATTTTTCTCTATTTGATACTAAGAATAATAACCCTTTACTATGACCTTTCTAGAAATGTAAAAGGTCATATAAATAATTGACAACAATTACATAAATACTGATTTCAGGCTTGTCTGCTTTCTGGTTCTCATGATTCAGTGATTCTCTTATTATTGCAGTTAGTGTAAAAATACATACTGCAAAAATATTGCTCCTTGATAGCACAGTGTGACATGAATGCAAAGAAACTATTTTATATAAGACATAATCGTGTATCTCATTTAAATTTGATTAAGGAAGTAACTGGGAACTAAATTAGCACCATCATTAGAACAGATTTTGTGATTCCTTGAATGACATAGCAAATGTCTTATGAGACCCTAGAAGTACTGTAACATATAAACAATTGGTAGAAAGCAAATTAATTTCTGCCCAGTAGGCATCAACCTTTGGCCAGCTTTTTAAGGTACCATGATACAGGTCAAGGAAGGAAGTGCTTTCTGCTCTCAAATTGATGTCCTAAACCTGAAGAGTCACTCAGCTATTAGGTGGCAAAGAAATACTTTAGGGTTCTTTTTTCTTTTAATATGAAATAATAAAAACTTCTCATATCATTGCTTCATTCCTCTTTATACAAAATATAAAGAGAATTCTTGGGAAATAAGCTATAGTTGAATGGAAGAGGATAAAAATTACCTTAGAAATCATAGCAGTGATTACTGAAAAGTGCCAGAGAAAGTGTACAGGGATCACTTATCCAAGTGATATAAGCCAGAAAAAGTGAGTTGAGTTAATTTCAGTTTGAGGGAACAAGTTTAGATCTATACATTTTTTATGAAGCAATTGCTTTACACCTGATTTGTATTTAAGTCATGGAAACTGAACTGGGTTTTCTTTCCCACGAAGGTTGGAGGCAAATCTGGCTTAAAGCCTAGAAGAAGAGGGCGCTAGATGTTCTTTTAGATCCCTCTCGGGAAAGTTGTTTTGTGTCTGTGTTATAGAAACACCATCTTACTTCTGTCAGGCTCAGTGGCTAAATGACAAGGGCTGTCATTTTTACCAGTGATGTTGAATAATTCAAGTCACTACTGATTTGTAATGTCATTTCTGCTAAATATACCTAAATCTGCCAAGATTTGTCATTAAGAGTTAAGTTTGTCATTAAACTACAAATCGTCTGTTCATCTCTTCAATTCCAGTCACTGAAATATTAATAGACATGAATGCTATATTTTTATATTTGCAGTTAACTCTGAGAGCTCAGTTTATATAGATTTTTATTTCCATTTTTTTGCAACACCACCATCACTACTACTACCAACAATAAAATTCGTGTGCAACTGATACCACTTTTTTTTCCTAGGGAGAAAAAAGGTGGCATAACACTCATTAGAATTAAAATTGCTAGTTTTTATTTCATATAATTTTGGTTCCTACTTATCAGTGGCATTGCTGGCTACAAAGTCTGAAACCACTGTAGTAATTATCCAATGATAAAACCAAATGACACTAAAGCATATTTATGGTTGTTACTTTTTGTATGTTATAACTAAGTAGGCAAGGGTAACTGAAAGGCAAAAGAAAAAATGTCAGTGTAATAATTTTAGGCTTTGATGGAATAATTTTTCTAAGAAAAACAAGAAATGTGCATGATGGGATTTTGTTTCCATTGTATTTCTTAGTTTTTCAAATGTTTCCATTATTCAGCTGTCTGGGCCAGCCCTCCTGAAAATATTGGTGTCATTACCACAATTTGTAGCATAAGTATTAACTGTGATAAGAAACACAAGAATTATGATAAAAACTCCAAGAATCAATATCCTAATTCCATCTTGCTAAACACATATAAAATATAAACTGGATTTGCATGCCTCAGGTACCAGGGAGGAAGACAGCTGAATATTTTGCAAAATGACAAGAGTAAAATAATTTATGATTATAATAATACCAAGGATAATATACAAAGTGATTTACTAAACTTTGAAATTTCATTTTAAAATGCTCAATATCCTTTATTGTGTTTTTCCTCATTGATAAAATATGGCTTTGGTCAGATTGATATTTTTAGGGAAAACTGCATGTTAATTTTCTTTCTCAAAAATTTCTTCCAAATTTGCTACTTTCTGGCCTTTTTTCAAATAATTTTTCTTTAGTGAAATGGAACTTTAAATCTCTGTAAACTTACTCAGATATAAAATTACTTTTTCAGTTAATAACACTCAGTTTTAAATTCTTTTTTCTAGCCAGTTCCAAGTGGTAAAGTGGCTTAAATTCATCCCTGTTTTATTCTTGAGTTACAAATTTGGGACCTGGTCTCTAGTTTTTATTTATGACAAAGCTTTCCTAGAAGAGGCAGCACTATGCTGATTGGGTGCTCAGTTTACAGATCCTTCTTCTACTTCCTTTATATTATTTTCAGAGCATTAGGTATCACAAATGTGGTTCCTGCATTTTAAAAAGTCACTTGCATTTCTGTTCAACAATATATTTTAGAAATATTTATTTCTGTATTGTTCTGTCAATTGTAAGCACAGTCCTACTGCTGTATATGGTGGCAGAAAAATTCACCTGAAATACCTACCAGCAGGAATCCTGGGGGGCAAAGATCCTCTCCCTGGCACTGGATGCGGGGCCTGGAGGCTATTTAAAAACCCTGCCCTCAGGAAGCTGGGGCAAAACGTTTCCACCCCAATGGCCGGGAAGGATCCTTTTAAGAGATAAAAATTGACATTAATCAAAAAGTATTCTTTGTGGAAAAGTTGTTGATCATTTAATTGGAACAAACCTATAATCAACAAAGAAATCAAACCTTACAAGGAAGCTATGAAATTAAAAGGAATGGAATGCATTTTTATTCACAAATTTAAGAAATAAACCTAGTTTTTTGAAAAGAAAGTTACTCTTAACTAGTTACAATTAAAGAGGGTTTAGAAGCATCAGAATGCTAAGATGAAATTTCTAAATCTACATTTGACAGAATATATACAGAATTCATCTCTACATGAGCTAAAGATACCCAGAAAATAGCCACGATAGGATCTGGGATTTGTGCTGCACTAGAAGAAGCAGTGATTTACTTTAGGTGTATCAGTAAGACAGCTTAAAATGAGGAAAGCTTCTATACCACACAGTAATTACACATGTTTTTGAAACAGTGGTAAGAAAAACAACATACACATTTTTTAATTTGCTTCACTTTTCTATTAGGGACAAGACATGAGAGTTTGCAAAGGTAGAACCACATGCTTTTTCATTTTTAAGAAGGCTATTGAGAGAGAAGCAAAAAAAAAAAAAAAAAATAAAATTCTTTGAATGTTTACCCAAAAAAAAAAAAAAAAAAAAAAAAAAAAAAAAAAAGTAAACTACTTGGATGCTTATCCATAAAATAATATAATGAATCACAGAATAAAAGAATATCAGAGCTGAAAAGGACTTTAGAGATCATCCAGTCAAAACAATCTGGTTTTTTTGAGACCAGCAAACTGAGTCGGGGAAGTGATATCACATGGCTGGTGGACTCCCAGTACAAAGTCTTTCCACTATAGATTAAAAATAAATGAGTCATTTCCTATATGGGAGATTGAGATCCCCTGAATACGAGTTAGAAACTTAGCACTTTGGAATAGCGGCATTACATTTTGGTGTCTCAGTGACCTGAAAGCTACTAAAATCATTCAGAAGAAAATGTATTATACATGCAATATTAGTGCATGGGCAGCACTGGTAATTGATACAGTATATCTAAGTTTAAATCACAGTAATGCCCTAAAAGCAAGTTACACTGATAGTTGTAAGAAATGTGTCTCATTCGAGACCTCTGAAACCCCCATCAGGCACAGCAGTTTTCATATGTAGAGACCCAGTTCAAATTTAGCAAGTCCTATATTTTTGAAAAGACTTTGCTCTGTTCTTTGACACAAATTTTGCACCTAAAATAAGTTAAGATTTGATTTTTCTTTGAACTTTGACCAGGACTAAAGGGATGTGGTATACCATTCTGTCTATATCTTGCTTCTATGGAGAAAGTTGTTGCTAAAGAAAAAGCAGCATTTATTAGATCTTTAGAGATGTGTTTATGAAAGAGCAAAGTTACAATGAATATTTTCATGGGTGAGGCCTATATATTGTGCACTGGATTAAAGAAAGCATAGAAAGAGTGTCTTATACGGTGCATAAACTGGTTTTGTTGTGTATTTTACGGGGCTTTAATAAAATGGCCCGGTAGAGCTGGAGTCCCTTAAACATTCAGAGGTGTGGCAAAAATGCCAAATGTAAGCCAGAGAGTGCTCTGAGGTAACTTTCCATGAACAGTGAAATTAACTACTCTTTTGTTACTACATGGGATATTTATCACCGAGCATAAAGTTAACATAAGCCTGTGTGCGGTGTTGCCCATGCAAGGCATCTCCCGCACTGCAATGTTTCATCATCATCTGTGAAAGCACTCACTAATGTAAGGAGCTTCACTGAATACCACGTGGAGATAATTATATATTTATAAAGCATTCTTATTTAAAGTTACAAAAGAAATGGGGATTGTACAACAGGGAAAATAATTACAAGAAATTCAGATTTTATTATGTGCTGTGAAAAACAAAAATGATCTAATTTTAGCTGTGGATTTACTGACGTCAAGTAATCAGAAGCCTGGTTCAAGAACACTAGATCATAAAGAAAAAGAATATCATCGTCATGAAGAGGAAAGTAAAAGAGACATAAATGTAATTATCTTAAAGGAAATCTGAAGGAAAACAAAAGCATGTAGAACAGTGACTCTAGATAATGTTTATCTGCTTCACATTTAGAGCTTTTTATCTGAGTTTTTGCTATTTTTGCCAACATTATTCAAAACTGTTAACTTAGAAAAGATGTCCATTATTTTAACTCCTTGAAAGAAACTAAATACAAATATTATTTTATTGCTACAATTACACTGATTACTACTTTTGTTGTTGTGACGGCCTGTCATCTTTAATAGCAGCTTTCATTTTCCTAAACTTGCTGCATCATTCATAATGGCTTTGTTATGTTTCTTTACTGTGGGTTAAAAGGTCTTTCATTTATTGTGGCATCTCTTCCTTAAGTAACTGTCATTTTTTATATCTGAAACAAAGAGAAAAGGTGGTGCGCATGAATATATATTCCATTGAGATATCACATTGTGTGATAATAACGCCTTATCAGTTTTCTTCTTAAGGTCAGCCATGTCGATAGAGATTGCAGGAAACACTACAGCTCTACATTTTCACAGTTCAATCAGGAAAACTGAAGTTATTCTTTGTTATAATTCCCTTATCTCTTAATTTGCAAGAAATTAAGTTCACAAACCTTTTGGAATTTGATATGAAATAATTTTAGTCTGATTTGCTCTATTTCTTAAGTTGCTGACCCCATCTGACTGGGTTTTTTTAAAGTAATGGTGGAATTTATTAATCAATTACATTGTAGCTTAATAATAAACAACGTCTACTATCTATACCAGGAGAAATATAAATTTCCACGAGTATTTTGATTTTAGTTACTTTCAATAGCCTAAGTATTTGTTAATACAAATTAGATTTTTATGTGATGAGAATATTCCTCTAGCCATTACAAGTTTGAAATGTAAAATGTGTCACTTCATACATGCTTTCCTTGAGTTAAATCTCAAATTCTTGAGTTTCCAATTTGTTAGTGATCTTGAGTTGCGGGTTAAAGAGAGACCAACATGTGACATTAGCATTATACTGTCTGTAATATAGAGTTACCAGATCACTAGGTGTTCTGTATTTTTACTTGCTAAACCTGGTAACCCTACTCTAATATAATTTCAAACACTTACGGATATCAGATGGATAAAAGGCACTATTAACTACTGATATAAGGTAAGATTAACATAAGTCACTGGCTGCAGGGGTTGGTGATTTATGTCTTTCATTAACTCAGTGGTTCTCAATGCATTTAGGGAGCCTTGCACATTATGACTGTGGGAAGACATCACTGGTGTTTAGTGGGTGGGGATCAGGATGCACGCTGAAGGCATTGCAGTAAGTGGTATCCTGCCTGCACAAATGGGAATTCTCTCTCAAAATGCTGGTAGCACCCATTGAAAAACACTGTCCGAGAATAAAGAATCCTAAAAAAATGGTTGCTAATGAATAGGTCATATAATGAGGTAAAGAAACAGTGTGAAGAAGTTGGTGTAGCCTGTATTCTGACATTAATTAATGGAGGACTGATCACTCAGATCATCTGAGAATAATCTTGCCCTTAGAGTTAGCAGTTTTCAAAGAATTATAATAAAATATATTTAGCACAAACTCAATGAAAAACAATCCCATTTTTCATTTGATATTGCAGCAACCTCTCTGAAATAACTTTATATTAGAAATTAGATATCATTAAGAATTTGTGTAAAAGATAGCAAACTATGACCTTAAACTCTTTGTGCCTCAACTTTCTCCTCTGTGAAATGAAAATAACTGACCCTACCTAACGGGGCTGTTTGTGAGGTTTAAATGTGAGTAAATTCTCATAAATATAAGACAATACTATTAGCCCTAATGTTTTTAAAAAAGAAATCTCTTTAGATGGGAAACAAATAAAGATTAATTAAATTTTCTAATGAAGAACTACCCCTCCCCCACATATATACACATATCCCCAATAGAACAAATCCTTTTTTCAAAGATTACATATCAATAATTTAATTTTGATGCCGAAAAGTTTAATAAGGGCAGTATCCCTATAACATGAACTTTTGAGATTTGACTCCTTCAAATTGTTTCCATTAGGCTGTATTTTTGCAGATAACCATTTGATCTACGTATAGACAAAGAATGCATAGTCTTAATTCAAGACAGACAAACAATTTAGAATTGGAAACTTAAAATACATGTATGCAGGGCTTCCCTGGTGGCGCAGTGGTTGAGAGTCTGCCTGCCAATGCAGGGGACATGGGTTCGTGCCCCGGTCCGGGAAGATCCCACATGCCGTGGAGCAGCTGGGCCCGTGAGCCATGGCCACTGAGGCTGCGCGTCCGGAGCCTGTGCTCCGCAACGGGAGAGGCCACAACAGTGAGAGGCCCGTGTACCGCAAAAATAAAAAAACATGTACACATATGTGAGTGTATTAAATAAATATAGAGTATGGAAACTCTGTCTTCAACTCCTAAAATGAGTTCTTTTTCAAGCACAATATGAAATGCAAGGATGATTTAATCTGATCTAAAAAGAGTAGATCACAAATAGTCACTGGGAACAATACTAAAAACAGGGATTTACACATAACATAACAAACCTGGCCCTAATATGTAGCATTTTATGTATATTGTGCCTATGTGTGGTGTGATTATTATTTGAAAGCAAGTATTGAAATAAACTGAACTTACAATCAGACCTAAATTGATAAAGTCTGTGTTATTAACATATAAATGAATATTATCTCAAAATATTTTAATTTCATTCCTTTAAATATATTTTGTGAGTGGTTTATAATAAATATAAAACTACAATAAATACAGTAAAATAGTAGATATATATGACATAAATTAGTATTCATATAGTAGAGATTTTGGGCTCAAAAATGTTTACTGTTAGGGACAAGACCAAAAATTTGGAGAGCTAAGAATTGAGTATGTATACATTCAGAGTAGAGATCCTTTCTTCACCCGTAAGTATCCAGTATAGAGTTCTGTAACTGACACATAGCAGCCTCTCCATAACTGTG